CAATATTAACTATAGTCACCCTGCAGCCAATAGAACCAATAAGCACTTGGGTGATGAAATAATTTATGCAACAAACTCCCATGATACAAGTTTACCTATGTAACAAACCTGCACATGTACCTCTGAACTTAATATAAAAGTTTTAAGTAAAAGAAATGCTACTGATTTTTTTAGGTTGATACTGTACCCTGCAACTTTACTGAATTTGTCTATCACTTCTTAGAGCTTTTTGGTTGAACCGTTATATAAAATCTATGTATAAAATCATGTCATCTGCAAATAGAAACAATTTGACTTCCTTCTTTCCAATTTAGATCCCTTTTATTTATTTCTCTTGCCTAATTTCTCTGGCTAGGACTTCAGTACTATGTTGAATAAAATTGATGAAAATTGACCTCTGTGTCTTGTTTCAGATCTTAGAGGAAAAGCTTTCAACTTTTCCCTGGTTAGCTGTGGTTTGTCATTTTTGGCCTTTATTGTGTTGAGGTACATTTTGTTGAGAGTTTTGATCAAAGAGCATTGTTGAATATTGTCAAATACTTTTTCTGTTTATCAAAGTGATAAATTAGTTTTTATCCTTGATCCTGGTTAATGTGATATATCACATTTATTGCATTATGTAGGTTGTATTATCTAGAATGAATCTCATTTGATCATGGTGAATGATCTTTTTAGTGTGCTGTTGAATTTGGTTTGCTAGTATTTTCTTAAGGATTTTTGCATCTATTTTTATCAGAGATATTGTCCTGTAGTTTCATTTTTGTGTTGTGTCTTTGACTGGTTTTTGTATCAGAGTTATGCCCACATTGTAGAATGAGTTTGGATGAATTCTCTCATCTTCAATTATTTTGAAATAGTTTGAAAAGTATTGATAACGTCCTTTAAAATGTTTGGTAGATTTTCAGCAGTGAAGCCATCAGATCTGGAACTTTTCTTTGATGAGAGACTTTTTATTATAAATTCTATCTTGTTGCTCACTATTGGTTTCTTCAGAGTTTCTACTTTTTCATAATTCAATTTTGGCAGGTTGTATATGTATATGTTGGCATGTAGTTGTTCATAGTAGTCTCTTAGAATTCTTTGTATTGCTGTTACATCAGTTGTAATGTATATTTTTAATCTCTGATTTTATTTGAACTTTCCCTCTATTTTTCTAAATTAATCTAACTAAAGGTTTGTTTCTGTTCAAAAGACTCACTATGGATTTCTGTATTGTTTTAGTAACTATTCCACTTATATCTGCTCTCATCTATTTCTTTTTTCTACTAATTTTGTGTTTGTTCTTTTTGTTCTAGTTCCTTGAGGTATGATGTTAGACTGTTTATTTGAGTTTTTTGTCTCTTATGGTACAGGTGTTTATTGCTATAAACTTCCCTCTTGGAACTGCTTTTGCTGTATTCCATAGGTTTTCATATATTGTGTTTCCAATTTCATTTGTCTCATGAAGTGTTCGAATTTTCTTTTTAACTAATTCATCAATCCATTTGTTATACAGGAGTATGTCGTTAAATTTACATGTATTTAAATGGTTTCTAAAGGTTTTCCTGTTAGTGATTTCTAGTTTTATTCCATTGTGGTCAAAAGAGATACTTGATTTTGGTTTTTATAGATTTGCTGAGATTTGTTTTGTGGCCTAATATCTGATCTACCCTGAAGACACTTCCATGTGCTGATGAGAAGAATGCATACTCTTCAGCTGTTGAGTGGGATGTTCTGTGAATAGCTGTTATGTCCACATGATCTAGAGTGCGCTTTATATTTGTTGTTTTTTGCTGAATTTTTGTCTGGATGATTTGTCCTTTGCCAAAAGTGAGATGTTGAAGTCCTCTATTATTATTGCATTGGGGTCTATCTCTCTCTTTACATTTAATAATATTTGCTTTATACGTCTGGGTATTCTGGTTTGAGATTTATATATATTTGTAGTTGTTATATCCTCTTACTGAATCAACCCCTTCATCATTATTATATCATGACCATCTTTGTCTCTTTTTACAGTTTTTGAATTAAAGTCTATTTTTTCTGATCTAAGTATAGCTACTCTTGCTCTCTTTTGATTTCCATTTGCATGGCATATAATTTTCTTTTCTTTATTTTTAGTCAATATGTGTCCTTACAGGTGAAGTGAGTCTCCTGTAAGCAATATATAGTTGTATGTTTTTAAAATACATTTTGTCATCTTTTAATTACAGAATTTAATACATGTATATTGAAGGTTATTATTGATAGGCACGGATTTACTATTGCCATTTTGTTGATTGTTTTCTAGTTATTTTATAGGTCTTTGTTTCTTTCTTCCTCTCTTGTGTTTACTCTTGTGGTTTCATGGTTTATTCCATTCTCTTTTTCATTTGCGTATATGCTGTAACTTTTTTTCTTTGTTGTTACTCTGGGTCTTTCATAACAAATCTTACAGTTCTAAAGATCTAAATTTCTTTGGATATTCTTGCCTCTGTATTTCCATATAAATTTTAGAATCAGCATGTCAATTTGCTCAAATGTATTATTAGAAATTTGACTGAGATTACATTAAATATATGGATCAATTTGGGAAAAAATAACCATTATCAAACAACATTGCTAAATGCACTAATTTTAATAGCTTAAAATATTTTCTACATATATACAGAAATGCATATATATATGCATATATAGAGAGAAAAAGTTTTTCTAAAAATATATTTTTTCTAAGTGTATATTTTATTGCTATTTTGTCTCAAACCATCTGGAATCTTCAGCACATTGAATAGAAATCATGATAATAATATTTTCTGTCTCATTCTTAATCTTAAAGGAAACATATTTTAATTGTAATATGTAGTCTCCAGAATTGTGACATAATAAATTTCTTTTTCTTTAGCCACCCATTTTGTAGAAATTTGTTATGGCTGCCCTAGTAAACTAATACAACATCCAAACATTGAAATCCAAATCTATTCTTTCCATGTCTTTTTTACTTCAGGAGTAAGAAATCAGTTTTCTTTCTCATTTCTGTAGTACATTTCTCCACTATGACATTCTTCAAAACCTAGATTGTATTTTAATTATTTGTATTTAATTTCTGCCATATTTGATACTAAGATTTTGATGGAAAGGGTTAATTCACATTTGTATAATTCTGATAATATATTTTATACACAGTGTAAATTTATTTCTTATTGAATATATTTAATGTGGTTTCTAAGTTGGTGCTAATAAATGATCACTGCAAAATTCTAAATTTAGAGTTGTACATTTTAATAAGGGAAAACAGAGAGAGAGTGCTCCCATACATCATCAGTTTTGTTTACTTGACAGGCAGAAGGAGCAAAAGGCTACCTGCACAGAATTCATACCCATCCAGGTGCCTGCAGAATTACCTTTTCAAAAGTAATAGCACTAAAGCTATTTGTATGTTTTATGCTTCACAAGGTGACTTTATTTCCATTATATCCTCTTGTGTCACATAGTTGCTGCAAAATAGCTATTTTTAACAACTTTATTTTACATATGAGAATACTGAGAATGAGAGCAGTGAAATGACCTCGTTTTTGAAGTATGTAGTCAACACCTTTTCACTTCCACTAGTAGTGAGGAGAAAATAATACTACCAAAAATATCATCACTAGTTTCATGTTTATTGTGTGTCCAAAATGTTTTTGGCACCATATGAAAAATATAACAGGTAGTCAAGTTTAACAGGTCATTATGTTTGAGAGTGTATAAATGAAGTTGACCAAAAATAATCTGAAGCTCAAAAAAAAAAAAAAAACCAGCTAAACATAAACAGTATGATGATTTAACAGGACTGTGTATCTATATCTAATATTTTGCTTCCACTAGGACTTAGCATGCAGAGTTAATATCTGTACACATAGCCACTAACATAACTCTTATAATTAAAATACAAATCTAGAGTGGTGACAATCACAGGCTTTATATTTTCCATAAAGTAGTTCTTTTTTCATTGTTATTATAGAATACAATTAGTCTTTCTATTCCAAGAACTTTTGATAATGCAAATCTCAGGGAGAAGTACATAAGAAAACTTTTAGCTGGGAAATGAAACAATACTTAACAGACGCTTTTAATCACTAGTGTTAGAGGTACATACATTTTACTTTTCTCTCTTCTGTTTTCAAACAAATATGAAATAATAGATTTCAGTTTGGGTCTTCAGTAGCAAATGATTTGTATCATTCTGTACATTTATATTTTTTAGATACTTAACTTTTTCTTTGAACTTAAATATTCAACATCTGCCATATTTGCAAACAGTTTCAAAGATATTTAAAATTTTCTGTGAATAATGTGGAATTCATTATAGCCAATTTATTCTACTTTAAAAATAAGTAGGCTTGTGAAAAATGTGTGTGTGTATATATATACACACACACACACATACACACGTATATTTATTTATATATATATATGTTGTTGATGGCACCAAATACCTAGAAAATTTTGTAGAAAGCAAAAATTTGTGTCAAATAATCTAAAGGAAAACAGAAAAAATATAGGAACAAAATAGTAAATAGGGAAAACTATAAATACACAAATATAACCAAATTATAAATTGCTAAAATACTTAATACATAAGATAAAGAAAAGCTAAAAATGTATAACAACAAGGTGAAATCCATGTTGTAAAATGTAATACTTTTTCTACTATGTCAGTGTATGTTGTAATGTTATAAATAAATTGGGTAAAGATATCAGAAATTCAGTATGCCTGTACATTTTGATTGTCAGGTCTAAATATATCATGTATTCAGTTGAAGAGAATCACAAGCTTAGTAACATCAATAACATTTTATGCACATTGGAATCTCTAAATTCTTTATAAAATATTTTAAGTATTACTAAATATTTTCAAGACAATTTATACTTCAGAATTATAAACAATGAAAAAAATAGTTAACATTATATATAAATAGAATCAGAGACTGACTTGATGCAATTCCCTTGCATTTAAAACAAAAAGCCAATTCTGTAACTCAACAACCCATATCTCTGGCAAGGATGGTTGGCATGACACTGTGATACACTGGAGGATCTTCATTCTAATTCAGGATTATGCTTCTTCATAGCAATCTTAGTTTTTCCAGGAGTTCACATGATGGTTTCTCAGCTTCCACATGGCTGATTTAACATCTTCATTCCTCAGAGAGTAGATGATGGGGTTCAACAAGGGAGTACAAACAGTGTAGAAGACAGAAAGAAATTTGTCTACAGAAAGTCTGCTAAAAGGCCATATATAGAAATAAATGCAAGGCCCAAAGAAAAGAATCACCACTGTGATGTGGGCAGTTAATGTAGAAAGAGCCTTGGATGACCCACTGGAGGACCTGCGTCGGACACTGATCAAAATGATCGTGTAGGAAATAATTAAAGCCAGAAAACAGCTCAATGATATCAGTCCACTATTTGTTAGGGTCATAATTTCCATTTCATATGTATCCATGCAAGCTAGCTCTATCACCAAGGGAAGGTCACAAAAGAAGCTATCCACCTCATTGGGACCACAGAATGGCAGGTCCACTGTAAAAGCCAAGTGGCTCACAGAATGAAGAATACCCACCGCCCAGGAAATAGACACAAAAATTATACATAGCCTCTGGTTCATAATTGTACCGTAGTGCAGGGGCTTACATATGGCTATAAATCTGTCATATGCCATAGCCACGAGCAACATCATCTCACTCCCAACAAAACTGTGAAGGAGGAATATCTGGGCCATGCAACCCTCAAAGGAGATAGTCTTGTGCTCAACAAAAAAGTCTACAAGCATCTTGGGGGTGGCAAAGTTAGACTGACAGATATCAATGAAAGAAAGGTTACTGAGCAAGAAGTACATAGGAGAGTTCAAACGGGAGTCAAAAGAAATAATGATAATAATTAAGACATTGCCTAGCACTGATGTCACATAGACTACAGAAAAGATGGCAAAAAAGAAAATTTGAAGTTCCCGGGAATTAGAGAGTCCCAACAGTACAAACTCAGACACCACCGATTCATTTGTGTGAGCCATGTATCCAATATGCGGTTACCTAAAAAAAGAAATCAGTAAAATATCACAATGATTGGCATTACAATACCTCTAGTTTATAAACAAAAGAAATATAGTCAATTTAATTAAGTTATTTATATTTATATATGTAAATACTCAATTGACTAGTATTTAACACCCATGACTCCTATGAAAGTTGAAAGAGTATGAAAAAGAGGATTAGATACGAATCCCTGTCCCTGTCATAATTAGAAAAAAAAAATACACATACTAAAGTAACTAAAATATAAAACCAGAAACAGGAAAGTATAAGTGACAATACTTTAATAGTGTAAGTATTAATAAGATTAAAGAGATTATGCCAAAGTGGTAAAATAAATTTTAGCTCGAATAACTTTTATTTTTGTGCTAAAACTTCTTAAAAGCTTGAAATTTGCTAGCCAAAAATGAAGAAAAAGTCTGTTATTTCAGGCAAAAGGAATAACAGGAATAAAGATACAAAGGTAAATATATAAAGATGTACTTTATTCAGGAACCTATGAGTTGAGTGGCCTGACTGGAGGAGAGGGCGTGCTAAGAAACAATAATTATTAAATTACCAATGGTAGGTCGGGAGCAAATCGTTAATGCAATTAGCCTTAAACACAAGACTAAGTGGAACTGAGAATCATAATGTTCTTGAAACTATTTTAAGAAACAATAAAAGCGGTTGGGCACGGTGGCTCACACCTATCCTCCCAGCATTTTGGAAGGCTGAGTCGGGTGGATCACCTGAGGTCAGGAGTTTGAGACCACCCTGGCCAACAAGGTGAAACCCCGTCTCTACTAAAAATACAAAAAAAAGCTGGGTGTGGTAGTGGGTGCCTGTAATCCCAGCTAGTTGGGAGGCTAAGGCAGGAGAATTTCTTGAACCTGGGAGGCAGAGGTTGCACCTCTGCACTCCAGCCTGGGCAACAAGAGAGAAACTCTGAAAAAAAAAAAAGAAAGAAAGAAAGAAAGAAAAATGGAGGGAAGGAAGGAAGGAAGGAAGGAAGGAAGGAAGGGAGGGAAACAATAGAAGCAATTTGCCATAATAGAGAAGGAAAAGCCAATGGTGACCCTCTGAAAGTTTCTCTGAAGGTCAAAAACATTCCCTTTCAACCTTTTAACAAACAGTTAATCAAAGTTCACCTTCTGTCACATAAAGACCAATCAACGATAAATGAAACAATAACTAAGAATGTGTTTTCAGTCTCTTTCTTCTGTCTTTTATCTCTTTCTACACATGCCTGACAAACTTGAATTTGTCAAAATCTGTAACACATTTCAGGAATGGTCCTTTAGGAAATATCTCATATGGTTCATTTCAAATGCATAAGAAGTTCTCAGAAAAAAAAAAGCTCACTAGCACATAAATTGCCTCTTAAATGTGTTCGTTTGTTTGAGACAGAGTTTGGCTCTTGTTGCCCAGGCTGGAGTGCAGTGGCGCCATCTTGGCTCACCACAACCTCCACCTCCTGGGTTCAAGCAATTCTCCTGCCTCAGCCTCCTGAGTAGCTGGTATTACAGGCGCCTGCCACCACGCCTGGCTAATTTTGTATTTTCAGTAGAGACAGGTTTTCTCCATGTTGATCAGGCTGGTCTCGAACTCCCGACCTCAGGTGATCCTTCTGCCTCGGCCTCCCAAAGTGCTAGAATTACAGACATGAGCCATTAAACATTTTTTGACATTTTCTTAACACATGTGGCCACTTGGTCCCAGAGAAAACCCTACACAACCTTCCTGAAGTGGTTCAGTAAACATTTTTTAACTTAGCTCTGTGTATCCAACATTAAACAGCAGATATTTATTTGTCCTTATACTAATTGAAGCTCTGCACTCCTCCATATTCTTCAGTGGTTTGTTAGAACCAGGTTAATTAGATATGACCAAAATAATAAATATTATATATTTTAAAAGTTAAAATTATGTAGGTAACCATAATCCAATTTAAAAAGTATTTAAACTGTGTCTAAGCTTTCATTATGTCATTTTAACCTGGATGTTGAAGAACTATATCCTACATTTTCAGGGGCTTCCATGTTTACATATGGTTAAAATATGTAATTTTAAGAAGAATGCAGAAACCTAAGTTACTCAAGAATGTAAATGGATCAATGAGTCATGAACTGACCTAACTACAAGTTTCCACATGGGATCTCATTTCCATGTGGAAGATTTGGGGCAATGCTGGCATGTCTAATCATGTGTATACATGAGCAGGGGAAACAAGGTAGCAAAGAAACATTGAAAAAGAAAGATATTCCCATTCCTAAGAGTAAAAAAATTCCTAAAGAGCTATAGTTATGAATTTAAAAAGATAAAATTTGACACCATGAGGGACTGCTTATAGCATTCTATTCATTGTGGAAAGCCTATTAAATATGATTATTTAATAGAATAAAACATTATTTATTTTCATAGGTTATTAAGCAAAAGTTTTCCTTGACACAGAGCATGCAAATAAATTTAGATTCTACTACTATGGGTATGGAATATATACCAGCTCATTATACAATAATAATAATGAACCATTATAATTACAGTAAAAATATACTCCATAATTGAAATGTCATTTGTGATAAGATTTACCATTTAAATGAACCGCACAGTATTTTGTACATACCTCTATCACAGCAAATACTAGAAAATGTGCTTTATATAAAAAATAATAATAATAACATTTATAGCACTTTCTATGTTCTAAGCAGTCTCCTAAGCATGTGGCATGCATGTGTACTCCTTTAATGCTCAAAATAACCCTACAGAGTAGCTACTGTTCAAATATGCATTTTAAAATTGAGGGAACTAAGGCACAGAGAAGCTTAGGCTAAGTAAATTGCCCAAGTTTATACTACTAGTAAGTTGTATACTTGTAGTAATGACTCCTATAGTAGACTGGGAGATGCTTTTGCACAAACAAAGCTAAATCTTATGAGTGATAGAACAGAGTGGTGGGGCTCTAAAGTAGGACAGGCTTGGATTCAATCTCAGCTCCTAAAATTTCTAATGGAATGAACAGTTCCTTGACTTTTCTCCACTCCTTTTCTAACATGTGAAATGGCGATGTCACTTGTTACATTTCAGAGTGGAACATAATAGGCATTTACACGGGAGTGGGCATTGAAAGAGACGAAAGAGGGTGCTCAAGAAGACAAAGGGGGAGAAAGAGGGAGAAAAGAAGGAGCAAGAGAAGGAAGAGGAGGAGGAGGAAGAAAAACGAAGGAAAAGGAGAAGGAAAAAGAAAGAGAAGAAAACATGATTAACAAAACATTGTTAAATAATGTTAGTGGTATTATTCCTTTTTCAAAAATCATCTTATCTTTGAAAAATATATTTTTTGAAAATATCCAAATTTCCCACAAATTATATCTTTTCAATATCTAATAAATGATAAGGTTTTTAGTCTTATTTTTCAAAATGTAAGAAACAACTAGAAATTCCTCTCCAAACTAACTTCCTACGATTTTTTTAATGCAAGTAGAACAGATCAGATTCAACATTATATCTCTTTTTCTTCTTAATAATTAAGGTAGTTACCCAATAGTATAGACAAGTAACATTTGCTACTTTCTAGCTGTGTGACTGAACCTAAAACATAGAACTGGATTATCTCTAAAGCTAGTTTCATTTCTAAAATTCTAAGTGCAGAGGCAGTTATGGAAACACATGGAGTTTATAAAAGTCCGAATTCCTTGGGCAGTCTGCAGAGCACCCAGAAGCTTCTTCATTATTGAATCAATCATTTTGTCATTGCCACTATACCTCAGAGACAGGAATGTTTTCAGATCCCAAAATATACCATAAGAAAATTTCCCTCTTCTTCGTGTAAAACCAAGTTGGGTATGAAAGGGTTGCTGTTAGATTAATATCTATCTATACAACGTGTCCATAGAACTCTGAAATCATAAGCATGATACTTTTTCTTGTCTTTATTTTAATGTATAATACTTGATTACCTATAAGCCTAGAAGCAAACAATAAAGGATATCCTACTGACCATTACTCTACTGTGTATAGCTACACCTTTCTTCCTTTGAGGCAAATTTTGATAGTCAATAAATATTTGTTAAACTAATGGCTACAGAGTCACTGAACAGAAAGCATAAATGGGTCAGAGAAGGGAAAGATAATGGTTGTAACATATGTTCCTCTGACTATCAGATCCTCTTCTTACGAGGGTGGCCCAAAAGCAGTACAGTAGAAGAATGATATAGACAGAGAAGTGGAGAACAGGAATGTTCTTCCAGAGGGAGTTTTCAATTTGAGACAACAATAACTTCCACTTTGCTATCTTCTAGTTGCTGATTTTGCATCTATAAGAGATCTTGTTCATTATTTCTCTAGTGCAGCAATATGTTCACAATGAATGTATAATACTTACACTTTGAAAAAGTTGTCCAAGTCTTTGACTTCTTCCTTATTTTCTCCAGTTTGGTGTCCCCTAGTTTGTTTCTGTTTCCCACTTTCTCCTATGAGTCTTCATACTGAAAATATTTATAATATAGTGTTAACTTGACGCATTTTAACTTGGTTCCTTACACTATGCCGTATGGAAGCGAGTCTCTCAAGTCCTGTCCTGAGGTAGTGAGGGCTCTGATCATCTTGCACTCAACCGAGCAATGACAATATCTTTAGGCAATACAATATAAAGCCTTTTAACCTCATTCTAGAAAACTGATTTCATTGGTGAAGCAAGAAATCACTCTTTAGACCTCTTAGGTCACTTTCCAGTGGGAGTAATTATTTTTCACAAAATAATTTTCCAGAAATGGAAAAGAAAAAAAAATTGTTTGTTTGTTTTGCCAGCTAGTGGATATATACGAAGCAAAAGATTACTTGATTTTAACTGAGTATCAGTCAGCAGAGGAAGTATTTAAGTATTCAACTCCAACTTTCTGTTAATAAAACAATCACACAATCTTAAAAATGATCACCTTGCCTTAGGGTGTTTCCTCCAATCACAAGGAGCCCACTGCTTCATAAGACAGTTTAATCTATGCTCCACTGTTTCTACCATCTGTAATTTAAAGAGTAAATCTATTAGCACTTCA